GACTGTGAATCTTATTTGAGCCTCAGGGATGCTCGAGTAGAGTTTGGTCTTTATTTAAAATTTTTAATTTTTGTTGTTCCAAACAAATTTTAACTTTGTATTTGAATTTGTTGAAGCATTTCACAGCGAATTTGTCTCCAGGCAAAATTCTTAAAAGCTAGTTCTGAGCCCACATACATTACACGGTTGCTTGCAATCACAGTATTTTAGTAGCATTTGTTTAAATTTATTTGAGCAGTGTTTTACATCCAAAGCTTTAGTTGATCTAGTCTCAGAAAGATTCTTTAAAGATAAAACTGTCCACTGTGAACTGAGAGAACAGGGTGATAGAGAATGAATGTCCACCTTCAATTCTGCAGGTCACTGTCCTGACATGGTATCAATCAGAGTTTGATCTTCGATTTTTTGAAGTATCCATGTGTTTAAATGAGGGACCTAAGTGCTCTGTGCCTGGTTGTTGAGATTGTCATATGGCCTGTAACTTAGGGACTGTGGCTGCACTGAAGAGTGGCAGCTCGGCACGTGACCTGTGGGTGCAGGGTGATCAGCTAAGTGTTTAGGCTCCGGGATGCTGACCCCTCTCTACCCCCTTTGGTACATGATCACATTCACTTCAGCTTCTTCTCATTTCTTGTGACCAAAAACATACCCAGTGCATGTGATTGCGACTGTGATGCTCTTGCCCTGGATGCTCTCTCTTCTGGAGCCCTTAAGGCAGCGGTTCTCAACCTGTGGGTCGCGACCCCTTTGGCGGTAGAACGACCCTTTCACAGGGGTCGCCTAAGACCACCCTGCATATCAGATACTTACATTACGATTCATAACAGTAGCAACATTACAGTTATGAAGTAGCAACAAAAATAATTTTATGGTTGGGTCACAACATGAGGAACTGTATTTAAAGGGCCAGAAGGTTGAGAACCACTGCCTTAAGGCTAAGTAAACACTGTGCTGGCTAAGCCTATTTGCCTTGAAAATTTGAATGACAATACAAACACTTCCATGTGTCCGCCTGGATACATCCATGTTTGTGGCAGATACAGGTAATTGCCTCCCATTTTTCTCATTAATAGAACCCCTTTTGTACTGGAGGTAGCAATTAGTCCAGTTGCTAGAATGGCTCACAGAACTCCAAAAAACCCATTTATCATGAAATCACTGACTTATTATAAAGGATATAATTCAGGAACAGCCAGTTGTGAGTCTATATTTCCCAGCGTCCTTTGCGAATGTGGGTGTGGACAGTTACGGCTGGGAGTAGTTGGATACAGGACTTCTGGGAGAGCCCCAAATAGAAGGGATATAGACTCAGCCCTTGACTCTTCCTCCTTTCTGCTGCTTGAAACATGAACTTTATAAAAATGTATTAATTTTTAGAGACAGAGGGAGAAACATTGATTTGCTGTTCCACTTATGTATTCATTGGTTGCTTCTTGTATGTGAAAGCCATTAGGAAGGAAATGTAGAAAGATGAGATGGTGGCTTGAACTGAAGAAGTAAAAGTGTTGATAGAAAAAATGAAATGAATGTAAGAGAACTATTAAATACTTTGAATGAACAGGACTTGGTGATGGACTGCATAAAGCTGAGTTAGTAGGAAAAGGAATTTATTTCACATGGAGGAGCAATATTGTGATTTATAAGAAGTAGGTATTTGGTCATTTGGTTTTAGTCCATAGTTCCTGACTCATAGCTCCCCAAACTCTTAAGTTTCCTAAGGGTTTAGAATGATAAAGGTGTCTTTTTGCCATGTGAATGAGGTGACTTTCAGAAGCACCTATGGATGGGGGTTCAGAGAGCTTCCAGGTTGGTGAGCACAGAGGTGGGGGAAGTGGGGAGCTTAGGGAGCATATGGAAGCTCCACACCCCGTCCCACATCACATACCTTGCCCTGCGCCTCTTTCATCTCTGGCTATTCCTGAATTATATGCTTTGTAATAAGTTAGCGATTTCATGATAAATGGGTTTTTCAGAGTTCTGTGAGCCATTCTAGCAAATTAATTGAACCCCAAGAGGGGGGGACATGTCATTGGGACCTCCCACCTATAGCTGGTTGGTCAGTAGCATGAGTAAGAGCCTGGGCTTTGGCTGGCATCTGAAGTGTGTATGTGGTGGGGGGAGAGTCTTGTAGTACTGAACCCTTAACATGTGGAGTGTAATATTATCTATGGGTAAATAGTGTCAGAATTGAGTTGAATTTTTTAACACTCTGCTGGTATCTGAGAATTGTGTGTTGGGGGGAACCCCATACCCACACACATTGGAATTGTATCCGGGAACCCAATTTAGGAGGTGAGAAAAAGCAAGCCATCATGGACAATACTCAGTCTTTGATAATGCCAGCTGTGTGGCTGAATTCATAAAAAGAAGCCCAGACTGAAGGGTAATCAGATTTAGGGCAATCAAATGAATTCACTTTTGAACTGTGGAGGGAATGAGAGAGATGAAACTCAAGAGGAACAGATTTGCACTGGAGAGAGATTTGTGAATCATCAAAATACGTGGTACAGAGAGTCAAGGGAGGTGATGGAGTGAGTAGGGGTCTAAGGCCAAAATCCTAAGAACAAAATATAAGGATGTTTGGTATGGTTATTAGAGTAAACAGGGTCCTAAATTTGAAAGATACGCTCAGTTTTCAGATTTGAAGGCCATTTGTGTGACCTCAGAACCTTGGGAAATTTGCTAGTCTCCTCCTTTTGGGAGAGTTGCTATCATCTAGTGTTCACTGCCACACCTCAGTGTCTCCCTGAAGAGAGGACTAGAGTGGGGTCGGCCCCATCTGTTGGCATGACTACCAGGTGACCAGTGTGTGACGCTCATCCTTGAGAAATTGACTCAGAGACCCTCTGAGAGGGTAAGACCACTGGAAAGCAAGTGTCTAAAGGGCCACTTGATGAGTACAGAACCAATAGGTGCTGACCCAACAGGGCATCCATCTATCACTTCCATCAATTCAATTACTTTTCCTTTGGGAGGAAGTACAATGCTGCAGTGATTAAGGCACAGGTGCTAGGCAAACTAAAAAGGTTCATCCCAGCTTTGCATCAGCTCCTTGACCTCAAGGAAGTTATTTAACTTCTTTAAGCTTTAGATTATTCATCTATAACATAGAGAAAATAATAGCATCCCAAATCATAGGGAAATTAAGGTTTATATGAGAGAATCCATATAAATCCCAGTGCCTGGTGTATTGTAAGCATTCTATCTTAGCTACAGGTGCTGGGTACGTTATTGCCTCTCCTCTCCAAGTCACCCACATTACCAGCTGTAGGATAACGGAGATTTAAATACTTCTCTTCTGCAGAGAGCACAGTATTAAGCTTTGTCATTGCGGGTTATTACAGGAGAGGGATTTCTTGCTGGTTTCTTGCTCCTGCTGCTTGGCTGTCAGTGGCACGTGTGATAGGATATCCAGTGGGACTCCCGCTAGCAGCACACCAGGATGTAGTCTCTTGTCAAGCTTGTAGCCTAGACTGGTGATCACTTAACATGGCCCTCCCAACATGGACACTGAGCATCCCAGACCCCATGGCACCATCTCACCATCTACAAGTTGGTTTCTGAGGCCTGACTCACTGTGTGTGCTTGCCACCAACCCCAGCCTGCCTGCATTCCCCAAGTTGTTTCCCCAGGCTGCAAACTGCCATACTGCTGAGCAGAACCCCAATACCCCAACTTCCTCTGCAAGCCTGCCTGCCAGTCTCAGTGCACCACCAGAGGGCAGTTTCTGCTGGCCCAACAAATACAGACCAGCTCCAGCCTTGGCAACACAGCAACCAGCTCTGCTAGCCCATGGACTGCACTCACCCACACCTCCCCCGGGGAGCTCTGAATTTAGAATTTTACTATTCTTCTACTCTGGTGCTTGGTTCTCCTTTCAGTCATCTAATGTGAGTGACAATATTCACTAGATATGTCATTACTATGCAGATAGTTAATTCTTTTAAAGTTGCTTAGCAACTATTATTCAACATTTGGCTTTTATCAGTTTTTGCACTGAGATGATTTGAAACCCTTGAAAAGGGTGTACTATTTCAGGTATCTAGCACTGAACTCTATTTCTTTGCTAAAATAGCACAAGTTAATATTAAATTTGTATAACAATAATACATTTATTTAAGCCCGTAATTGCCAATTGAGCCCAGCATTTCTGTATGTCTCTATCAGAGATCTGCAGAACACAGAATTAGTTGGAATAAATCCACTGTGTTTCAAATTCACTAATCTTGAGAGTCAAGATGCATCTCGATCAAATTAATTCTGAAAGGAAAGGTTGAAAAACGTGGTCAGTGATGGCGAACCTATGACACGTGTGTCAGAGGTGACACGCGAACTCATTTTTTTGGTTGATTTTTCTTTGTTAAATGGCACTTAAATATATAAAATAAATATCAAAAATATAAATCTTTGTTTTACTATGGTTGCAAATATCAAAAAATTTCTATATGTGACACGGCACCAGAGTTAAGTTAGGGTTTTTCAAAATGCTGACATGCCGAGCTCAAAAGGTTCGCCATCACTGCACTAGATGAATTTACCAGCCTCTTCAATTTTGATACTTCCATATGAATCTAATTGACATTACAGAGGTCCCTCTAGTAGTCTAACAGGTCTCTTACCAAGAGAATAAATTAGAGATCAAATAGAAAATGCAAACAACCCTCAGTGTTGTTGACTGCAAAACCATGCTTGAACAAGAATAGCATTAAAAACAAATTTATGTCTAAAAATTTTGACAGAATTCTACAGGTTTGTCCAGTTTCGAGCTCTTCTTCCTTATTTAATCCAAAAATCAAATCCCATCCAGCAAGTACTGATATTTACCTCAATAACGTAAAGTTCTGTCCACCGGTGACCTGATCTATACGTTGCAGAGAGGGTTCATAACATTCCCAAATAAAAATACATATTTCATTAACACCAGCATTCTCAAAGCCTAAAAGCTCAATACATTTTTTAAAACCAATGATAGTTAAAAATAAGGGGTTCTGAACTTGAAATGCTTTTGTTAAGCTTTATTGTACAGACTAACATTTTGGTTTCCCAGACTCAGTAATACTAAATTGCCTATTGGGTTTAGTGGCTTCTTGCATCAGCTCCTGCAACTGTCCTATTTGTTCATCACGAAAGTCATTAAGTTTCTCTTCTGGGAGGGCGGCTCCAAAACATGCTTTTTCAGTTGAATTTTGGCTGTTTTCGTTAGCTTGTTGCCATAGCACTGCTGCATACGCCTAGTAAAAAGAGAGAAAAATGAAGGTTATAGGTATAAAATTAAAATAAGGTCTGTATTCATTCAACATTGGAGGACTTAAAGAATTCTAATTCCAAGTACCTGTTTTTCTCCATCACTGAATCTTCTGAACTTGATGAAAAACATACAACGTTGTGTCTTTACTATTCAGTAATAATTTTTAGTATTTTAAGATATTTAATAAGCTTTTAGCAAAGTTCTTTACCTGAAAAGCTGCAGGGTAGGGGGCAATTGAGGGTGGGTGAGAATTGTCCATGGATGGGCTTCAGAAATGAGTATAAACTACCCAAAAATCATGTGAAAAATTGTATGTAAACAAGCATGGCACTGTCCTGAAGCCATAGCTTTCATTAGGTTTTCAAAGGGTAGCCATGGGTCTTAATACGTCTAAAAGTGGGTCTCAAAATTTATTAAGTTCAACCCCCTCTTCAATTTAAAAACTAATTTAAATCACACTAGAGATTTAAAAAAATTTTAAAGCCTTTAAGTCTTCAATATTTAACAATCATTTTGTCAGGAAAAATATTCTGTGTTATTTTTATGTTGTAATTTTTCTCTCATTCAATCACCATCTTCAGCCTAATATTCCAACTACCATCATCATACACAAGTGACACTTTGAAGCAGATTCTCACTTTAAAATTAATCTTCTATCAGGCTGGAAGTACTACTGTATTTCAATTCGTGAAGTTAATGATGATGTGGTTAAGCGAATTAATTCATTAACTCTAGATAATGTTGCTACTCTAAGTGGTTTAAGAGAATTAAATTGCTTATAACTGCCATTATCACCAAACAAACTTTAATTCTAGACATTCCCTTTTTTTGGGGGGGAGGGGTTGTAATTGGTTTTAATATCATCAACACAACACTAAAGTGGCTTACCCACTTTTCAGCAATGCATACTTAATCCAAGCATGGAAAAGAGAAACAACGATTTCATGACTAGTGTGATTTTTCTTTATATTTACTTTTAATTGAATTTACTGTGGTGACATTGGTTAATAAAATTACATAGATTTCATACCATCCCAAGTCAAGTCTCCTTCTATCACCATTTATCCCTTTACCCTTTTCTACCTCCTCCCTCTGTCGATCACCATACTGTTGTCTGTGTCCATGAGTCTTTTTTTTCTTAATCCCTCCCCTCTGACAGCTGTCAGTCTGTTCTCTGTATCCATGAGTTAGTCTCCACTTTGTTAGTTTATTTTGATCATTAGATTCCACAATAAGTTGTCATATGGTACTTGTATTTCTCTAATTGGCATATTTCACTTAACATAATGTTCTCCAGGTCCATCCATGCTGTCACAAAAGGTAAGATTTTCTTCATTTTTTATGGCTGAATTGTATTCCATTGTGTAAATGTACCACAGCTTTTTTGTCCACTCACTTACTAATGGGCATTTGGCCTGCTTCCAAATCTTGGCTACTGCAAATAATGCTGCAATGAACACAGTGGTGCATATATTCCTGGATTTCTTTGGCTATATTCTAAACCTTTACTTGTATAAGAAATATTTTCTTCATGTTTTATAGAAATCCAATTCATATAGTGAACTAAGAAACACTTCTTAACCAGTTTACACAGATTCACTGTGGCTATCCCTTCCAGAGACAGCAGACTGAGACTACTTAATCCCATGAGAGACCCATTTGCAGATCTTGAAAACCTGTGATTTGAGGGACAGGCTTCTAATTTAGTACACAGGTAGTGGCTGACTGCAATCTTCCCCAGGGATGGAGAGGCTGGCAGGTACCAACTTAGCACTCTTCCCTTGCCCCAGTGTAAGGCACTGGTACACGTCTGATGCTCTGTTCCTTGTGGCTGCTGCCAAGAGGACACACCTCTGATAGCCTGACTCTGATAGCCAGCAGACTTGTGTTCACAGGTTCAAAAGGAAATAGTTAACTGGCTGTCACCCCAGGACTTAATACAGAGGGAGCAAACAGAAATGCCAGTTTTCCCTAAAAGAGGTATATGTGCATACATTAGGGACTGCTGCCTGAGGGTCCTGGGTCCAGGTAGCCTGCATGTAGGTGCTGACTGAGATTCTCCACTTTGGGATACTGACATGTCTTGTACACGGTCAACTAGTTGTTATCTCAACTTCTAAAATATCTTTGAAATATTTTTCTTGTATATCCATCAGGGTTCAAAGAAGAACCTGATAGTTAGCTTCAAGGGTATCTTTTCTCAATCCTGAGACCTTTATTTCCAATAGGGTCATAATGATTACATGAGTAACAAAGTTTTGTCCCTTTTAGTTCTTGCTGTTATTTTTGTTTAATTCTCATTTTCTCCTGCTGTCAATTAAGCCTACATTTACCAGCAGTTTTTCTTCTTTCTGTTTCTGGAAATATTTCTTAAATACCTTTAGAATTATTATAATTTCTTAAGCCATACACATTTTAAAAGTCTAAGTAAAACACACCAAAATTATTTTCAAATAGGTTTCACAACAATTTCCTTACCAAAAGAATAGATTTGAATTGATACTTTAGCACATGCTTGTGAATTCTGATAAAATGCACTTCATGTACCATTAAGCTACCATTTGTACTGATAGAGTGACTTGTTGGATTTGTGCTACCTGCCCCACACAGGATAACATCGAAGTGGAATAAACTTTCTTATACACCTGGCATACAAAATTTGAGACTGACTGTTGTTGTTTTTTGTTTTGCTAATCCTCACCTGAGGAAATTTTTCCCATTGATTTTTAGAGAAAAGGGAAGAGAGACCTGAGTGGGAATCGAACCCAGGACCCTTTGGTCTGCATGCCACAATTTTTAAACATGGGATAGAGATAGTCACAGAAAGCCAAGAATGTATGTATGGAGAGAGAGAGGCTAAAAAGATGCCCACAAAAGTTTGGGGAGCAGTCTTTAACATTTTGTTCTGAACATCTCACCTCTGTACTGTTTTGATCTCATAATAAAGATGTAAATAATATTTAATTAAATGGGAAAGAAAGCAAGGAGGAGAGAAGCTTTTAAGTAGAAATTTTGGAATGGAGAAAGTTATAGGTTTGGTTTTTCATGATATGTCCTACCAGCTCAGACCAAATCAATTTGCCTGTTGTAATTAATTTGGCTGTAAAGATTAACACAAGAAATTGTAAATTCTCATTACTTTGTTTAATCACATTTTTTACTATTTGCCCTTCTTTAAAATAAAATTGCAACTAGATAACCCAAAAGTACAGTCAGAAACATTCTTGATTCTGTAGAAAACATGACATATGAAAATCCAAACTATCAAACTCTATAAATACAAAGATAATTGCCTCACAAAAGGATACTCATATTTAGAAAAACATTTAGCGTAGGCTCCTAAATGGTATAAGAAGCCGCCGCCTTTTGAACTACATAAATCAAATTATAAATTCCCTTACAAGATAGGCATATATGGTGCTGCTATGGCCATAATTTCCTAGAAAACTAAAATGACAATAATTTTTCAGTTTCAGCAAATTAAATTATTTGTACTCCTTCAATATAAACTCCCAAACAGAAGGACAACTGCTATATCTAGAAGGGAAAAGTTACCTTTCTTCTACAATTATTGTAAGATTTTATTAGCAACAATGAACCAACAAACTTAAGTTTGGAGCATTTAATCAAGCTTTCCCTAGAGAACTGATTAAAAATGCCATGCCTCCTCAAGGAACAAAAACATCCCCCCTCCATAAAAACCTGAAAGTTACCTGAATTACAAAAACTAAATTCAAAGACACTGTGGGGATTTGAAGTACAGCTGCTCAAGTCATTAATGCAGAATATTTTATATTACAGAAAAGAGGAATCTATGTTGGCAATGATAGTAAATTTGACTTATTGGCTCTCTTTGACCCAGTTTTGTGATTTTCAAGTCACTGATGATAGATTTTCCATTTTTATAGCATACAAAAAAAAATCATCAAAAATAACCTATGCTATTTCCTAGCCCCAATGCGTCACACTGATTCACAGAAAACAAACAATACAAAGTAGCACTAGTGTCACCAATAAGTGTATTTCTCAGGTGGCCATGAAGCTGGGCCCCTCTGGAATCAAGTTCCCCAGGTTCCTCTGCCCAATACAGTAAGCCATACACAGGACTCACCTGTGACTCCAGGCGGGGGGGGGGGGGGGGGGGCTCAGCCTTAATACTTTCAACAATAAAGATATATATGAGATTTTGTATTTAATTGGGATATCAGAAAAGCCTTAAAAAATAGTGTCATGTTAAGTAAAATAAGTAAAAGGACAAGAACCATATGATACAACCCATGTGGGATCTAAAACAGAAAACAACAAATGAACAAAAACTCAGACACAGACAACAGTATGGTGGTTATCAGAGGGGAAGGGATGGAGGAGGATGAAGAAGGTTAAGGGGGTCAAATATGGTGGAGGAAGGAGAGTAGACTTTGGGTGATGAGCACACAATGCAAAATACAGATGATGTATTATAGGATTAAAATGTTAAAAGATAAAAAGAGAATCTTAAAAGCAGCAAAAGAAAAAATATTAGTTACATACAAGAGGAAGCCCGTAAGACAATCAGCTGATTTTTCAAAAGAAACTTTGTAGGCCAGAAGGGAGTGGCACAATATACTCAACATTATGAAAAGAAAAAAAATAACAACCAAACTACTCTACCCTCAAGGATATCATACAGAATTGAAAGAGAAATCAGGAATTTCCCAGACAAGCAAAAGCCAAAGGAGTTCATCACCACTAAATTGGCATACAAAAAAATGTTAAAAAGAATTAACTGAAAAAGGAAAGGCCAAAACTAGCAATAAGAAAATATAAGAAAAAAATGTCACCAGTAAAGGCAAACATAATAAAGGTAGTAGACCAACCACTTATAAAGCTAGTATAAAGACAATTAAAATGGCAATAAGTATATACCTATCAGTAATTACTTTAAATGTTACTGGAATAAGTGCTCCATTTAAAAGACCTAGGGTGGCTGAATGGATTAAAACA